ACATATTTTTCACATATATATCACACATATATATATATATATATTATATAACAGTGCGATATATATATATATATATATATATAAAGTATATAACATCCGTAAACATACCGCTAGTAGTCTAGTGTTCACCGATAGGAATATATATATATATAAAAGTAAAAAATATATATATATTGATATAAATAAAATCAAATAAAGTATAAAATAGTAGACGACTTATTGTGTTAAATAAAAAAAAATTTTGCGTTGAGATAACTTATATATATACTTAAATATACCGTATAATAGTTTTATACATACATTCACTTTATTTTCAATTTTTTAAATTATTATATCAGACAGTTATCGGGGAGATAGATATAAAAGACAATCAGTGAATAATACACATACAAACAGTATGTTATATCAAAAACGCCCGGTGCCTAACCATTACCGACTCGCTGTTTGAATTGTGAGTCAATCTATATATAATAGCATACGGTGTGTAGTGTCACTGTGTATAGTACTGTACTGTATTAGATGGCAACTTGGGGAAAGTCAACCCTCTAGGAAATGCAGTTTTTTTAATGGAGATTTTTTTTCGGTAAAGTATAAAAGATTTTTACACATAACATGTCATCATATATATATACATACAGTATAGTCTCTGAATATAAATACAATATATATATTGTTTTATATAACACTTAGCCAACAATATTGTTGAGACACAGCACACTTCAAAGTCAACCCTCCCCTCCTATGTTTGGAAAGTGATGGTTAAACTAACTAACAGTCCTCTCTCTCTCTCTCTCTCTCTCTCTCTCTCTCTCTCTCTCTGTCGATGATGAGTAACTAAACCGTTCCCTTAACTATAACTAACTATACTATTACTAACAATAACAAAATACACTGAAAGAGAGAGAGAGAGAGAGAGAGAGAATATTGTGTGCAAATGACATATGTATTGATACATAAAATGCAATCAAAATCTTACCGCATATTCAAACGAGATATCACTCACTTACTCACCCACTCACTCACTCACCCACTCACTCACTCACTCACTCACTCACCGATTCGCCCACACTTTCAGATTATTGTCAATATTTTTATTTTTGCTACAATTTTTCATATCATAAAACTTTTTCAACTATTCATTCAGTATCTAACAGTTTGATGTCTACTATAACTTATACTTAAGAAAAATATTATTTAGTTTAATATATATATATATACAGTATTTTCTCGTTCAATGATTGTCTTAACGATAGACATATGAAATATATATATATATATATATATATATATCTTAATATCCTCCTCACACCCACTCTCCCACACACATACACACTGACTGACAAAAAATATGGATATTTTACAACAACAACAACAAAAATACCCAAAATTTTTGCCATTACTTAATATTTTTCATTCAGTTTGTAAAATACAAGAAAATGTTGTAACATATAATAACAGAGAAAATTTAATTTAATACATAAAATATAAAGTATTTTACTTTTACAACAACAACGAAAAAAATAAAATAAAATTGTCTAAAATATTCATATCTTATTGCATTTTATTGCAAATATTTAGTATACTGTATATTATATGTCTATCTCTTTGTTTTATTTAAATTTTTATCATTTAAAATAATGTTATATGTATTCAAATTTTGTTGTTGAAAAAATATATATATATATATAAACTTAAATAATATATCATATATGTGTGTGCAAAATATATTGTATAAAAATGTAATATATTATATTTTTAATATATATATATGACTTTATTAACAATAAATAAAAATAAATTGTTACAAATATATTACAACTTTATTTTGTTGAAAATATTTAATGTTGAAAACTTATGGTATATAATCAAAGGTAAGTCATATATATATTATAATTATATATATCACACCTCATATTAGTTAAATGTTTTTATTTATTATTTTTTTTTGTATAAAAATAAATTTTCAACATAAGTAAAGTTTTCAAAAATTGAGATAATCATAATTTTATTATCAAAATATTCTCAACAAAACTATATATATAATATATATTTAATTTTATTTTTTAGTTACATATATAATATCTCTTTTTTTAAAAAAAAAAAATCTTTACATAAATCATATCGCTTGCAGTCATATATATGTAGTGAAAAAATAAGAGAAATAGAAATTTCAATATAAGAATATAATGTATCGTAAAAAAAATGTTATGAAAAATATCAAAAAAAAAATTATATATATATATATTTAATATATCAAACAAACTAACAAAATATATTATATATATCAAAGGTATTCAAAAATGCCATTTCAATACATATATAGTATGGATAATACATACATTTACTAATGTATAATAAAAAGGTGGATATAATGTATTTATTGTACTTTATATACACATATTAGTTGTAGATATATACTGTATATAAATAGTACAATACATTATATAAAATAAATAATATAATACATTATTGATATATATGTATAATAAATGACACTATTTTTTCTATACATATATATATATTGATATATAACAGTTACATAAGGAGTTGGGCTCTTAAGTAAACATATTTATTGTAGATATTTGTAGATATATTTGATTAAAAGTATTGCCAACAACTGTTATATTGTATAATACTGTATAATATAAGTGACTTCAAGTTTTTTTGACAGTAGTTTCCCATTTAGTTAGTCACACATATTATATGATGTACTATACCTTCCAGTAGTAT